TTTGACATTATGTGTTTGACATTCTGGGTCATTTGTCTAACTAATTGTTTGACATTATATGTTTTACTTTTACTTAAAGTTAAATAACTAGAAAAATACTCTAATCTCTTGGTCTGTTTTCTTTTGGTTGTTCTCTTAGCTTTGGAGTAGGTCACAAACATCTCGATTTATTTTTGGATATCACGAATGATGAATCTAGGTACTCATACTTGCTCCAATAACAGTATGGCTCCTTCCACATGAGTTTGCTCCGTTGTTACACCCTTTTAACTTTTTAAGATAAACCCTCTTTGTATGGAAATGATGCTTAAATGATTGGAGAAGTGCAATATTATTTTAATAATGCTAATTAAGCAATTAATATTGTCATGTTTATTTTGTGGTCTTGGAATCAATCTAATATCATCTGGGTTGGAGCAAGTATTTTTGGGAGGCATACTGCCAGTCTGGCACAATAAAAATAATGTCGAATTGTTAATACAAATGTACCGTAGAGAAGCATTATATTTAGCATTTTAATACTATGCAATAAATCATTGGATGAAAGGAAACTAATAATTAAATAACTGGTTGGTTTTTGGTTTAATAGTCATTGTTTATATGTTGATTTTATGATTTTAGTAATTAACTTGTTCTAAATTTCTGTTTGCATTTTGAATCCTTGATTACTGATTAGGTGACTGAAATTTTGTTTACAGTTTATGTGATTTGGGATGGTGATCTATGGATAATTACTAATTTTGCATTTTTATCATTTATAGCATTAAATCATTAATTATGGAAGTTGGTTTTTAATTTTTTTTACTGCATATAGGATAAACACATGGGTGAATGACTGAAATGAGGCAAAAAAATCCATGCTCCGAGTTGCTGATTAGTCACCGACTAGTCGCTGAGTAGTCGGCCTAGGCGCTAGGCGGCCCTTTGCCGCCCGACTAGCGCCTAGCGAGTTTTAGAACATTGGACACAACGGATATCGTGTGGTCAAACTCCACCTCCATCTCATGGAAATGGACCCTACACCCGATAACCTTTTGGCTCCACACATCATTAATCAACACCCGGTCTAACTTAGCCCACAAAACACCTTTGTTCCATGTATAGAACTCTCTCGTGGAGGGTGCATCACAAAGGCTAGCCGACACTTTGAAATCAAGAAGGTGTTGCATCAAATAGGTCGTAGGGGGGTAGGACCCACCCTCTCATTTGGTGCGCATATACAATTGAAATCACCACAACCCATCCAAGGGTCCATGATTTGATTTCCTATTGTTATCAAATAATCCCAAAGGGCCTTTTTCACTAAAACCGTATAAAGCGGGTACACAAATGTAGCAAAAAATGAAGTTTGCATAACACGATAAACAATATTTGCATGCATGTGTTGCCTTTCCCTTTCCAAAAAAATACAAATTACGAAATTTGGGTTCCACATGATAGCCATGTGCCCCCCATTTTTTTTATCAAAATTATTTTCACTAACCCAACCCGGCCATTTATTTAAAACGTAGTTATTAAAACTAGCCGCGGTCATTTTCGTTTCTAAAAAGCAACACACATAAATATTGTTCGATTTAATAAAGCTAGAAATAAAATTATGTTTAGAGGTTTTGTTCAAACCTCGCACTTTGACGAGCACTTTGTCACGGTGCGTCAAAATAAATTCAATACTAAACACTTATACGTAGTATAGCGTAGTAGAGTTCGTATCCACAGGGAAAGGAATATTTCTCTTTTTATGATACTTAGTAAATAAAAGGGGGGATTTGGATTGAGTGATTTAATTTTAATTAAGAACTAAGATGAACAACCTATATGTGTTTAATTCAAAGATAAAAAGGACTTGGCATTGCTACTTTCCACTTGTTGATATATTTTAGTCGATCATTGTTATATCTATAACTTATTCCCTCTCGAATACTCAATCGGGGAGTATATCCACTTCATCGAGGGTAGTTATTAACAACGACCGTTCATTAATAACCTTTACTATTAATCAAATATAGAACAACGCCTTATACCGATTTAATAGTAGCATTTAATCTTTCTAACTCTTTGATGAAAACAATTGAGATTGATAACTTCAACACAAGCGGTTTCGGTTTAACCAACAAAATTAATCCCTCTTAAGTTTATTAACCACGACCGTGCATTAATAAACCGAAGTTACTTACTTGTGAAACCATCAACGATTAACCATCGGTTCGTTGATCGTTTCTAGTAATAATTAATATATGAAACAAAACTAGTTGATCCTTTAAGTAATGTTCAAAATATTAATATGAAATAAGAGTAGGGATTAATTAATATTCAAGGAAGAATATTATTAATGAAGATGAATCCTACTATAATTAATATCAAGATGTTAACTAATTGTCATCTTAGCAACACTCCTCAATATTAATATAGAGGAAGAAAATACCATTCTAACTAATGTCGAGATGTTAACTAATTGTCATCTTAGCAACACTCCCCAACATTAATATAGAGATGGTATTAAGGAAAGAACTATTAATTAATATTCAAGGGAAGAAGTTTAAGAAAATAACTCACAACTTTAATAATCAACAAGCTTCAAGAGCAACACCAAGAATGGAAGTTTAGCTCCTCATTTGGAGACTAAACATAGCTAGAAAAATATAAAGAAATGCTATTCTAAACTGAGCTATAGGTGTTTTCAACACCAAGAGTATGGAAGAAGGGATGATGAAAAGTGAAGGAAAATGGGGTTATTTATAGGTGTTTTCAACACCTAATGCCGGATACCCGGCCGAGTATTTTGACATACCCGACCGGGTATTTACCAAATCAAATATTTTCCCATGTTTTTGTGTCTTCTGCACGTTCTTTGGTCCGAAATCACAGAATACCCGACCGGGTATATGGAATACCCGACCGGGTATTTGCTAATTTTGTAGCAATTTCCTTTGTCACTTCATACCCGGCCGGGTAAAGTCCATACCCGACCGGGTTTTGCACAAAACTCAGGTTTCTTCATCCTTTTTGCTTCCAAACCTATCCTAAACTTATAGCTCAACTAACTACAACTTACAACAAACAATAAAATGCTAAAAATACGATTACAATCAAATGCAAACTAGCAACTATAAACTTACACAAAACTAGTAAATAAACATTACAAACAATAATAAAAATGTATACTTAGGCACTAACAACTAGTGCCCATCACACTTTCCAAGAGAGGACCTTTAACATCAAGTAAGGTAGAAATCCGAGATATACCGATCATTCCCCAAGTGGACTTCTTCTTTCTCCTTCCCACGTTCATCTTTCCTCTTTCTCTTTTGCATCTCTTTGAGGTAATTCTTATTCCATTTGGTATTGACATCAAAGAAATTAAGCACCTCATTAGTAAAATTTACTTTATCAAATTCATACCAATCGTCGGTCTTTTTTACCATAGGAAAAGATAGCAAGCATGATTCGGTGAAGTTTACATCCGGATCCTCATGTTGCACCTGTTGGAGATTGGCCCCCATGTTTACCACAGTTTCCCCCTTTGGCACTTCGGCCGGAGGCAATACAAATGCAAGACTTTCCCCTATTCATCCTTGAAGACTTCGGTCACAACATCATCAACATTCATCTCGTACATGTTGCGGTTCATGTAGCGCTCCGGGTCATCAATAGTATTTTGTGTGACATCCTCTCCGGTTATCGGATCCGCATGTGTGAGCTTTGTGTAGGCACAAAAATTTGCCGGTCATCAAGGCTTTGGGCACGCCTGTGAGGCAATTACACCCTTCGCAATGGTGACAAGATTTTTTGGCACAAAAAATTGCTTTGTTGGCCTAGCATTGGAAGAGCTAGCCCCATCATTAGGCACGGCCTTCTCAACCACTTCACGTGCGCGCAAGAAATCCACATTATGCCTAGCAAGCACATCAAAAAAACAAGCAACATTAGCAATAAAAACATTTTTATTAAAATTGTACCCTTTCTTGGATCGCTTCACCTCGGGAAGAGAAACTAAGCACGGGTCCGTGAAACAAATAACCAGCATCTTGGTGTGGTTCCCTTCGGAGGTCCATCCCTATCCTAGCCATGGGGATGTGGCTTTTCATTTGATGTCTCTTTTTGGCAAAGGCCATGCACACACCGTCCTCTTGGGAAACAAAATTTGTAACTATATCATCGGCCTCCATCTCATGTACACTCAAGATACGACGCCCTTCCCACTCAAAGTCAACTTTGGTGTTCATAATGTTGGCTGCTGGTTTGTCATGATTCTTGGAGAGAAAACCCGACAACTTGAAGCTAGTTTTGTTCCTCGGCTCTACCATTTGAAATGTAGGTTCTTCCGATTTGTCAAGGACAATAGCTTTATCCTTAATGCCACTTTCTTCAATTGTTTCATGAGTTGTGAGTCTTGGTTGTGTGGGACAAATTCTCACACACTTCTCCGTTGGAGGTAAACACCATTCACCCATATAACCTTAAGAGTATCTTTTTTTTATGGACATCCCATAGTGTGCAAGAGAGTAGAGCATGATCCCAAAGCCTAGCATTATGAATGTCAAGTCCCCTTCCTCTTTTGGGAGACAAATGTCATCCCATGCCATTTTGGCATATTTACCACCCCATAAAAAGATTCTACATATAGACACTATCATATCCAAAATTGTTTGGGGAACCGGGAAGACTTGGAGTCAAAATGATTGGATCCCTTGGATCACGGATCGAATTAGCTCAATCTTATCGGCATAGGATATTGTCTTTGTAATCCAAGTCATAAGTAGGGATGGACCCGGGCCGGTCCGGTTCCGGTTTCAGGCCGGGCTCGGACGGGCTTTTTTCTTAGAAAAATGGGCCCGGAACCGGCCCGGGGTGATACCGGGTCCGGGTCGGGCCTACCAGGGCGGGTAGTGGGCCGGTTCGGGCCGGGCTCGGGCTATTTAATTTTTTTTGTTTAAATATTAAATTAAGATTACTTGGACATAAAAAAGTTAAAATATATTTATTTGAAATATGTAGTGCAATTGAAATTGAGCAAAAATTAAAACATGACATACACTTTTTTAATAAATAAGAATCAATCAGAATTTCCGCTATCTTCGGTTGTTTCTTCCATTAAGTGACGAGTGGGTTCAATGCTAATTTCTTGAGTTCTACGTTTGGCCTTCAACCAATCGTGGAAGCAAACAAGCGTCTCAAGAGAGTTTGCGCTCAATCTCATTCTATAATCCGTTAGGATGTTGCCGGCCGCACTAAATTCTTGTTCCACAGCAATTGTTGATACCGGCATTGCTAGCACTTGCTTAGCCATCTTTGATAAGATCGGGAACGTTCTCTTTTTTTCCTTCCACCACTGAAGAACGTCAAAGTCATCCCCTTCTTTATATATGTTTAACAAGTTTAAAATGTAACAACATTATTTAACAAGTTTAACAATTATCTAGATTTATAGGAGAATAATAAATATAACAATTAACTAGTTTTATAGGAGAATAAGAAATGTAACAATTAACTAGTTTTATAGGAGAATAATAAATGTAACAATTAACTACTATTATAGGAGATTAATAAATGTAACAATTAACTAGTTTTATAGGAGAATACTAAATGTAACAATTCACTAGTTTTATAGGAGAATAAGAAATGTAACAATTAACTAGTTTTATAGGAGAATAATAAATGTAACAATTAACTAGTATTATAGGAGATTAAGAAATGTAACAATTAACTAGTTTAACAATTAAACAATTCATTTCGAATTAACTAGTTTAACAATTAAACAAACAATTATTGTCTAACAATTTTTAATGTAGAAGATGTACGAATACTTGGAGAAGATGTGTAGTGAATTGTATACAAAAAATGGAGTATTTATAGATTTTTTGTACCCCACCCCCACCCCCCAAACCACCCCGAGACCCCTTGGCAGCCTCCCAACGGCTATAGAGCCGTTTGGGTTTGAATGCAACGGGTATAAGGGCTTGTTGGGCTGGAAAAGAAAAAAAAATTAAAAAATAGCCGTTAGGCCCGGACCGGGCCCGAACCGGCCGGGCCGGTTCACCTTTTTCCTGACCCATGCCCGAACCACCCTACTCGATCGGGCCGGTTCAAAGCCCGAACTACCCAACACATACCCGGGCCGGACCGGGCCCGCACAGTAGTGGGTCGGTTCCGGGCCAGCCCGGCCCGGTTGGGTCCATCCCTAGTCATAAGGAAGTCATTGACCATGTCTAAAAGGAGTGCATGTTGGGCACCGGAGACTTTGAGGGGGGCAAGTGGATTCCAAGGTAACGCATCAGGAATACACTACGCCCATAATCAACAAGGTCCAAGGTATTTTGTAGCTCAAGGTCATTCACCCCACCCACAAACATGTTAGATTTTTCATGGTTTACTCTTTGGCCCGATGCATCCCCAAACTCTTTCAGGGTATTGACCAATACTTCAATGGAGTATTTGTCACCTCTTGAAAAGAACATGAGATCATCCGCATAGGCCAAGTGAGTAATACCCAAAGATGCGCACCGTGGATGATAATTACAATTGGAACCATTGGTTCGCACATTGAGAAGTTGAGAGAAATATTCTAGGCATAGTACTAAGAGCAATGGGGACATTGGATCCCCCTTGCCTTATGCGGTTATGCCCCTTTTTCCCCTTAAAGAAACCATATAAGTTACCATTCAATGAGACGGAAAATGAAGCCGTTGAAACACATTCCAAGATCCAACCAACAAATCTAGAGGGGAAACCCAAACCCCTTAAGACATTAGCTAGAAAATCCCAAGATATGGTGTCATAGGCCTTACGAAAATCCACCATAATCATACAACGAGGTGAAATGCATTTCCTATTGTATCCTCTAACAAGTTCCTGGGCACGGAAAATGTTATCAAACATTAGGCGGCCGTCCACGAAAGCACTTTGTGCTTGATTAACCAACCCCGAGAAGCAAGGGATTAGTCTAGCCGCAATGATTTCATTAATAATTTTGTAAATTGCATTCGTACAAGATATGGGTCTAAAATCTGAGACCCTTGGGGAGTGGCTAGTCTTGGGGATTAACGCTATAACAATGTGGTTAATATGTTTTAGCAAGTAGGCTATCATGAACATTTTGTTCAATCAAAGGGCCGATTCCTAAGACCATCAGGTCAAGGGCATGGTTTCCCATCTCGGTTCCAAATAAATTCATGAAAAATTATACAAAACCCGGTCAAGCTTAGCCCATAGAGAACCTTTATTCCAAGTGTAGAATTCTTCCATGGAGAGGGCATCCTCTAGGCTAGCTCAGATTTTAAAATCAAGTAAATGTTGTATCATATATGCCATGGGAGGGTTAGACCCAACCCTTTCATTAGGAGCGCATATGCAATTGAAATCACCCGCAATAAATCAAGGGTCCCTAATTCGGTCCTCAAGTATAGCTAGGTGTTCCCATAGATTGTTACGTTCCAAGACAGTGTAAAGAGGGTAAACAAAGGTTGCTAAAAATGATATTTGCGTAATACGACAAACAATTTTTGCATGCTTGTGTTACCTCTCACTTTCTAAAATAGTCGGCACATCTTGGTGAGCCTCCTTTAGGGAATCCATTGCTAGCCTAGCCACGTGAATATGGCTCTTGAGTTGATGTCGCTTCTTGACATAAGCTACTTGCACACTGTCTTCATTGGGTACAAAAGTGGTAACAATGTCATCCGGTTGCATTTCATGCATATTTAGAATCCTTCACCCCTTCCATTCAAATTCCTTGTTCGTGTTGTGCTTTTGGGCCGAGGGATCCTTAGGCTTGGAAGCATTGAAGTGGGTTTGGCCGGCACCTTTGTATCATGGGATGAAGAAGCCTTAGCTTTGTTCTTCTTTGGCACCACAAGTTGGAAAGGTAGCTCTAACGGTTCCTCTTGGGCAGCAACTATCTTCTTTGCCCCCCTCTTCATTCGGTGTTTCCATCTTCTTTGCATCAACCAATTTTTTGTTGTCATCTTCCTTTAGTTTCGGGTGAAGCACCTTACATATAAAGGGGTTGTGGCCAAACTTGTTGCATTCATAGCAATAATTTGGATACGTCTCATAGATCACATATTGATTCCTCCTTTTTCCGGATGGTTGTATCATAGGAATATCAATGACCGGGGGTTTCGTAGTATCCACCTCAACAAGTACACGTGCAAATTGAGCCTGTGCCTTGTTTTATGTTATTTGGTCTGCAATAATGGGAAACCCACACATGAAGCTAGCTCACTAATTTCCGGTTTATTCCAAAGAGTAACAGAGAGCCCGTGGAATTTCCCCCAAATAGGTACTTTCAAAAATTCCTCTCCATCAAGTTCAAAGTCTTCGGATAAAACCTTAAGAATCAAAGCCTTACCATAGGAAGAGTAAGGCCCCTCGGATATGACCTTTGTTTGGTTTTCCTCATTTTTAAAATGAAAAATAGTCCAGCCCTTGTCATGAGACTTCACCTTACAATTGACACCTCATTTGCCCTGTTCATGGACCGCTTTCATTCCGAGGAATCTCCTGGTGAAGCAACCAACCAAACAATATCCCAATATATCAAAAATAGAGGGTACCATACGGTTAGAGAAGTCCACCACATCCCCTTTAGGTGGGATATAATCAAGTTTGATCCCATGAGAAAGAGAGCGGTTATTTTGAAACAAATTACTCCACTTCTTTTTCCTTCTAGTTCATCTTCCACATTTTCTTCATAACTAGCACTTGAATTTGTATCAACGGACCCAATGGTTTCATATTCGTCTTCCACCAATCCATTAACCTTCGAGGTAGCCACATCATTAGGAGAATTAGCACTAGAGGAAACAATTTGTTTCTCAAAGCTAATCTCTTTGGAAGCCACCCCAATTGGTGAAGTAGGGTTGATAGTAAGTTTGAGGGTTGTTTTGGGGCATACGAAGGTAAGACCTTTGTATTAGCTTCCCCTCCCTTCTTCTTAGCTTCAAGTTCCATCTTCTTAGCATTCAACATTCTGATTTTTTCATCAAACGCCGTGTCCTTCGGAGGAGGTGTACGAGATTGCTTATTATTCTTTGTCATTGGGAAGAGCAATTAGCACCTCACAAACATGTTCAAAAATTGTGAAAATACTCTCACATGTACCCTTTGAAGTGAGGAACACTCCAGTATACTCCGTTTGAACAATGGACAAGTATGGAATCCAGAAAAAATATGTAACTAGTCAAAGGTTCGCAGGAATTACTGTAGCTGGCAGTTCCAAACCATTGAGGAAGATGAACAGTACTCCCTCCACACAAATGGGATCAGAAAATTCTCAAAAAATAGCCAAACGTTCCCACTAACAAGGCAATTCTAGCAGTATATTCAGAGTACAAAACAAATGCCAAACAAGCTCAGAAAAAATCAAAGACCAGTTCACCCCGGCGCACATTGAACATTTGATGAATAGTGCATGAGTTTCTCGAAACTTACTTATTTTGCTCGAAATAGGTACCAAAATGCTCCCCTTGAATAGATGAACCCCAGAATGTGCTCAAAATTCAGATTGAACAACAGATTTTGGAGGCAATCAAAGTCAATGCTTCCTGTGAGCAGTAACTTCGCACACTGGATCTTAGCAAGCTGGTGTACGACAGAGCTGTGGTGGCCGGAAACCAGTACAGGCAGGTTCGCCAGGAGGTGGCGACCCCCAAACAAGTCTTCAGTTCCAAAACCAGTCGTCGAAAGACGAATCAAAACTCAGTTCGTTGATGAACAGTGTATCAACGCACAAAACTTGGATTTTCTTACGTTTTTTGCTCAACAATCCCAAATCTGCTTGAACTAGTTGGTAGATAAGATAGATTCAGGGATTTCGACAAAGAAAATGAAAGAAAAACACGGATTAATCAAGTAGTTTGAGAGCAAAATCAAATGAGGTGTGCGCAACCTAGAGTTTTTTCGCACACTACCGAGAGCTAGGAGTGGACTCGGCCGGTTCGGGCCCGGTTCGGGCCTGGGCCCGGCCGGGCCTCGGTTCAAGAAGGGGAGGCCCGGAACCGGCCCGGGTAACCCCCGGGTCCGGGCCGGGCCAGGCCGGGCCGGGCCGTGCCTCGGGTATATTTTTTTTTTGGACTTTTCCTAGTTAACCCCCACCCCTCCCCCTCACCCCAAACCAACCCTAACCACCTCAAATGGCCCAAAATAACCAGCCCAACCCAAAAACTCAAAAAAATTTCAAAAAAAAAATTAAAATTGGCCCGGCCCGGGCCCGAACCGGCCGGGCCGGTTCACATTTTGAAGGGCCCGAGCCCGAACCGAGAATCCACCGGGCCGGGTGGCCCGAACCGCCCAACGAACCGGTTCCCGGGCCGGTCCGGGCCCGCACAGTGGCGGGCCGGTCCGGTTCCGGGCCGGTTGGCCCGGCCCGAGTCCACCCCTACCGAGAGCTCTTTAGATATTCTATAAATTCTATAAATTTTGGTATTTTTTTCTGGATGAAAGGCAAATATATATTAACACCCAGAAAATTTAACAATATAAATTTTAGGATAGAACAACATGCTTTTACTAACCTAGTTATGCAGAATTGGAATACCTTTATTTGTGGAACAACTTAATATATGCTCGTAAAGAAACTTAAGTTGCTTAAAAAGCCTCTTAAGAATCTAAATACAATGAAGTATGCGCATATTTCTACAAAGGCAAAGAGAGCTAAAGAGGAGTTTAAAAGGTTGAACAAATTGATGCTCCAATCACCTCAAGATGAAGTTATCAAAGCTCAATTAGTGGAGGCTAAAAACGGGCTACTTTCTTTGGAGAGGTTGAATCTTGCTGCTATCAACAAAAAGACAAAGCCACACATTCTAGAGGCTGACAAGGGCACGAGATACTTCCATGCGATTGTTAAGAGGAATGTGACTAGAAATGCCATAACCTCCATTTCTTTAGAAGATGGTAGCCTCACAACATCCTTGGAACAAGTGGGTAACGAGTTTGTATAATTTTTCATGAATTTATTTGGAATCGAGATGGGAAATCATGCCCTTGACCTGATGGTCTTAGGAACTGGCCCTTTGAATGAACAAAATGTTCATAATAGCCTACTTGCTCCAATAACAAACAAAGAAGTTAAAAATGCTTTGTTTGATATTGGAGATGATAAGGCATCCGGGCCGGATGGATATTTCTCGGCATTTTTTAAAACAAATTGGAATATTGTTGGGGAGGATGTGGCTCGTGCTACTAAGGAGTTATTTGTTTCGAAAAAAACGCTAAAACAGATTAACCACACTGTTATAGCGTTAAACCCTAAGACTAGCCACTCCCAAGGGTCTCGAATTTTAGACCCATATCTTGTACGAATCTAATTTACAAAATTATTACTAAAATAATTGCCAAAATGGCATGGGATGACATCTGTCTCCCAAAACATGAAGGGGGACTGGCCATTCATAAAGCTAGGCTTTGGAATCATGCTCTACTCTCTTGCACACTATGGGATGTCCATAAAAAGAAAGACACTCTTTGGATTAGATGGGGTGAATGGTGTTTACCTAAGACGGAGACTCACAACTCATGAAACGGTTTTAAAAAATGTCGAGGAATATCCATCTGGCCTGGGTGCCTTGTCATCTCCAATTAGGGATGGACTAAACCGGGACGGCCCGACCCAGAACCGGCCCGGCCCGACCCGGAACCGGCCCGGCCCGACCCGGAACCGGCCCGGCTCGACCCGGAACCGACCCGACCCGACCCGGAACCGGCCCAGCCCGGCCCGACCCGGAACCGGCCCGGCCCGACCCGGAACCGGCTCGGCCCGACTCGGAACCAGCCCGGCCCGTTACTGTTTGGGCTCGGACCGAACCGGGACCGGTTGGCCGGTTCTGGGCTTTTAGCCCGTTTGGGCGGGTAGGCCGGGTCGGGCTCGGGCCCAACTTTTGGTGAAGCAGCCCGGGCGGTTCGGGCCGGGCCCGATTCATTTTTTTTTGTTTTTTCAATTTTTTTGCTTTACTAGGTTAGGGTTGGGTGTTTGGGGGGGGTTGGGGAGTGGGGGTGAGGGGGGGGGGGGGGGGGGGTCGGGTGTTAATTAGAAACCAAAAAAAAATTGAACTTGACCCGAGCCTGGCCCGACCCGGTTAGGCCCGGACCCGGAATCAACCCGGGCCGGTTCCGGGCCCAACATTTTGCAAAAAAAGCCCGCCCGGGCCTGGCCCAAAACCGGAACCGGATCGGCCCGGGTCCATCCCTATCTCCAATATCAAACAAAGCATTTTTAATTTCTTTGTTTGTTATTGGAGCAAGTAGGCTATCACAGGGCTGGGTTCGGTTTGGGATCCGAACCGATTTGTCGGTTTGTAGAACCGAACCGATTTTTCGGTTTTGAGGATAATGGAAACCGGAACCGAACCGATATAGATTCGGGAACCGATTTTTTGGGAACCGAATTATCGGTTCGGTTTGACTGGGACCCGATTATATTTTCTTTAATATACAAAGTAAGACCTGTAAAAATATATTCCTGCTGAACTACATTTTTTTAAGCAAAGACAGTAGAGAATCATATGAAGAAGACTATAATCAAGTATTGAATCACTAGGCTAACTAAAAAATTAACACAATTTTAATATCGATCATTTACCAACAATAATAAAATCCAACAGTCTATTTCAAAACAAATCCAACATTCAACACAATAAAGTGATAAACATCTAATCTTTTAACATCCCATAATTTGGGGACAAATCAAAACTAAATTCAAAAGTAGACACATTAAGTTTAATTTAAAAGGACAATGTTCAAGAACATCCAAATCAACTAACGAAGAACTTCAAAGTTGAGAGCATGTGTACAGTGTACTGCCATTAATCATCCTGCATTTGACATGTAAATAAAAAATATTAATAATTAATATATTGGACTGCCATACGCCCATACATGTAATAATTTAGAGTTAGTTAGAGGACAATATATCATAAATAAGAGTTAATATATTGGATTGTCATACTATTCCGATCATACTATATATATTACATTATAACATAAAATAAAAAACTAATGGGAACGAAAATATGAAAAAAAACCTTCATCAAGTTGTCATGGATGATTAGATGATGCAATATTTCTCCCACGTTTTCGTGTGCTTGATGGAGCCCCTCTTGAACCTACACGTGAACTTGGTGGGAGTTGGCTTTGAACTTGAGAGCTTGATGGTGGGGGTGGTAATGCTATATTTATTTGAAGAGATGGTGGCACTTGCACTACATTAGGCACACCTATATTAGTAGTTTTGGACTTTTAATAACAACAACAAATACAATAACAACAACAACAATAATAATAATAATAGTAATTAATATTAGTTATAAATTACTCAAGAAAGTTAGCCACTTACTTTGCTCTAGTTCTTCAAGTTCCTTATAGAACTCAAGCTCTTCATCCGTAGGCTCTTTGTAGAATTGGAATTCTTCCCCTCTTAGCCAATCACTAGTACACACTAATGCCTCAACCATTCTAGGAGTTAATGAAGCTCTAAATGGATCCACAACCCCCCCCCCCCCCCTAGGCTAAACGCATTCTCACTAGCAACCGTAGAACTCGGGATAGCAAATACATCTCTAGCAACCTTAGCAAGAGTTGGATAATTCCCACTGTTGACTCTCCACCAATCTAATAAATGAAATTCATCATTTCTTTTACTCTCATAAGCATCATTGAAGTACTTATCTACTAGATTAGTTATCTCCTTAAGCTTGGCCTCTCTTCTTTGCTTATTAAGCTTTCGTTCCGCCCTTGCTTCCATATCATCTACATCATCATCATCATCTTCCTCCATTTGAACCTCTACACAAGATTGGTCAACGTTTTTTGCCTTATATGCATCATACATTTTATTCAAGTGACCTTTCACTTCACTCTTCATAGCTTCAACTTGCACGGAAGTGAACCCAAGATCTTCCAAGTGTATTTCAATCATTTGCAATTTGTATCTTGGATCAAGAGCTTGGGCCACAAAGACTACTAGGTTCATTTTATCAAAAGCATCCCAATACTTATGTGAAAGCTTGGGCCCAAATCTTTCATGTGAAAGCATTCACTAAGATAGGCTTTAAAGTGGAGAATAGAATCATTATCATTGCTAGAGATGACTAGATCATCAACATAAACCAAAACATTAAAATGAGTAGACAATCTAGTGCGTGTGAACAGAGAATAATCAGCATTAGACTGAAGAAATCCATATCCTTTAAGGGCTCCGACTAACTTAGCGAACCAGCAACGAGGGGCTTGCTTAAGCCCATAGAGGGATTGATAAGTTCATATTACAACACGCATTTGATTCGTGTTGGGATCAGCTTTTGATGGTTTTCCTAGCTTGAAGGTGTCATAAGTCTCAATTTTAACTCAAGTTATGTCTACCGGGTGTTGGTTCGAGTTTTGTATTGTTTGGAGTCAAAATCAAGGGATTAGAGTTCGGCGCCTGCGCTTGAGAAAGAAATCAGGACGAGTCAAGATGAATTCGAGAGAGATTTGAGAGATTTGAATGTCACCGGGAGGTTCACGATGAAGATTTGATGACAAAATAACTCTAGGAGTGGCTATGGGATCAAAAGAAGACGAATAAAGCTTGAAAATGACATTCAGGATGACCTTCTGTCAATCGCTCAAGCATATCTTTTTTTAAAAACATCCAAAGAACACGGTTTAAGTTCCATATGGAATCTAACTTCATGGGCTACAAATCATATGAAGACACCATTGCTAGAATCTGAGTGGAGAAAGGTGAAAACAGACGAAGAAAGTCAGATGATCGCTGTTGCGATCTGAGAATGCGACCTTCCACCATTTTAGTATCTTTTGATTGGATGATCGAAATCCGGTTTTGCAAGTTGTTGTGGATAGAGGACTTCATTATCTACAACTTTGATGAAGGAAGCATCGACAATTTTGGATAATACGAGCATGCACGATCGTGCCTAGAATTAGGCACGCCATGCGTGATGAAGAAATCACGGGGAAGCTACTGCCGTCCACGCTCGCCGAGCGTGGCAGGGATGCTGGGCGAGCGTGGCAGGGACGCTGGGCGAGCGTGGCCCCGAAACGCGGAATTATGTTGCGGACGCTCAGCGCACGCTCACCGAGCGTGCCCCCAGAATTCCTGGAGGAACATCATTCCCTCAAACCTCCACGGAGTATTCACCATATACGCCATACTCTCCTCATCAATATTACCCTCATTACACTCCTCACCAATATCACCCTTCCCCACCACAAAATTTTTAGTCTTTTTATTCTTACCCTCCTCCAAATGCGCAACATTCTCAAACTCAATTCCCTCATCATTATGCTCATTCACAATATCCTAGGGCGAAACCAGTCTCCATTCTTGAATATCTTGTTCAAAATAAAAGTCATGAGTAATTGGTTGATTTCTTTCCTAAAAATAGCATTTGTTCCTTCTGTTGAGGAGGTCACCATTTTTGTTTTTGCCCCATTCCTCCAAATGACCATCCTTACTGGGTAACTGCATACCCCACTTCGTCCTCCCCAGCAATTAGGAGCACAAATGTTCCTGTCGTTCCCACATCTTTGCCAAATAATGAGCCACAGGATCAACAAGAGGAGGCAGATTTAGAGAGGCTTTCTAACTTGGAGGAGAAGTGTAACACTTGAGATTTAATATAAACGGATTAATAGTACTACTCATACCAACAAGGTGCATCTCCTTTTAAGGGAGCTCATTAGCCAAGAACTCCAAAGTTAAGCGTTCTTGCACGGGAGTAGTCTTGGGATAGGTGACCCCCTGGGAAGTTTCTCAGGGCGCGCACGAGTGAGGACAAAGTGCGCGGAAAAGGCTAGTGGGGGTTTGTGAGGACAGTACTAGAGGTCAGAAGTAACTACCTCGGGGCCTACGAGGTCGGGGTGTTACAAGAAGCTCATACCATTCATGCAGACCACTTCAGCCAGAATGCATAATTTAAGTAACCAAATGATCAGATGGCATAAGCCCCTATCTGAGGAGTCCGAGAGATCCCATCCTAGCGACACGAAAACTAATCCGAGTAAACACGTCGAGGCTGTCACACATACAAATAGTAAACACCTTGATGCAGTTGATCACAATAAAGACGCATATATCCCCATGAAGAAAGAATTGTCATGTACATATTCAGATGTTCACTCGTGCATTGTCTCAGATCTCGATTTGTTTGATTCACTGCTGAAGGATGATGCTCCTTTTATCAATGATGACCACAACATGCGAGAAGACATTGATAAAAATGGTGTTAACAAGAGTAGGGATGATCGTGGAATTGAGTCAGACTGCGACGATGGGAGTATAATGGATGATACACTTCCAGACACTTTTGAAGACACACCTATGATTGAACTTAAACAAAATTATAGTAGTTTCGAGTTGTTTTTCCGAGAATACAGGCAAAAGTTTCAAATGGTACAAGCTGTAACTGAAAAAGTCACAGATCACTTTGATTTCCATACAGAAACTCCCCAGCCATTTGATTTACCATTAGTCTCAACCTCTGACGAGGAAGGAAAGGAGCATATGAGTCTCAACTTCCAAATGGGAGTATAATGGATGATACACTTCCAGACATTTTTGAAGACACACCTATGATTGAACTTGAACAAAATTATAGTAGTTTTGAGTTTTTTTCCGAGAATACAGGCAAAAGTTTCAAACGGTACAAGCTGTAACTGACAAAGTCACATATCACTGTGATTTCCATACAGCAACTCCCCGGCCATTTGATTTACCATTAGTCTCAACCCCTGATGAGGAAGGAAAGGAGCATATGAGTCATGACATTGACGATGAGTTGGGAAAAGATAATCACGAGCTCTAAGAGAGTGATAGCAAGGTAGATGATCTCCATGACGAAGAAGTCCCGCTCCACATACAAGATTACTCCTCTTACGTTAGTCCAGATTTGGATTTCTTTGATCCATTCCTTGGTGATGATATTTCTTTTTGTGTGGAGAATGATCACAACTTCTTGGAGAATATTAATGAGAAGAGTGACAAAACGAAATGGGATTCATTCATGGAGAGTGATAGTGAGTCAAGAGAAGGTGCTTAGAATTTTAATGGTACATTTGAGCAAGGAAAGGAGGCGTTTGTGATACATTTTGAACATGAGGATGTGAGGTTCATACTTCACTTTTGCGCTAATGAGGGTTATGAAGACCATATGTTACCTTCGTGGTTTCAAGAATTCAAGAATCTGCGCCACCTAAGGGCATTTGTTGAGGGAAAGCAGGATAAGTTGATGATTAGGGCCCCACCACAGTCTTTGCTATTTGAGAGCATATGAGGTATCGTCGGGCACACGACGTTAAAAATAGCGTTTCTCGGGAGGCAACCCGAGCTTATTTCTGCATTGTTTTTGTTTTTTTTTGTTTGTTGTTTGGTTGTTTTGCTTTGTGATATTGTGCAGCTCAGGGTTTTCCGTTGGGATGATTTGCCGATGGTTATTTGACTCGGTTTAGTTCTGCATCGATCAACGCCCTTAGGGAAGTTTTCACGATTATTCTTTACGCCTGTTTAAAATATTGACTTGAGTTGAATTTGATCACACGTGACCCTTTCCCCTTTACCCCTTTGTGCATAGTGCATTTTTGGCCATCGAGGGTGATGTCAAAGTTTAAGTGTGGGGGAGTGAATTGGGCAATCGGGCAGTAGTTGTTACATGAGATTAATTCGGTTAGCATGTGCAAGGATGTTTTTACTTGGACTGTAATTTGTCCCAGACCAGACCAGACCAAACCAGACCAGATCAGACCAGACCAGACCAGACTTGGATAGTTATAAAAATACAAAGAAACCAGACCAGATCAGACCAGACCAGCAAATTACAGTCCAAGTAAAAACATCCCAAGTGTTAATTAGGTTAGCATGTCAAAATTTTTGAAATTTTTTCTTTAAACTGTGTCTTTGTGAGCTGGCTAGAGTTTTGACTATGCTTTTAGAACATCTTTGAAGTGTTTAGACTTAAATTGCTTGAACTATAATCTAGTTATTGAGAGGATGAAGGCACTAGTCACTCATTTAATTCATATTTTCCCATCCCACCTGAATAAGTCCTTTAGGAGAAGCCACGTTGAACCTGACCATTTTGTTCTTTACCCATTAAATGAGCTCCATAGCCAAATGACATGTTTTCTTACCCGTGAATAATTCTGGCAGAGTCTTGGTGTTTAGGGAACTAGGGGATTAATTTGTTAAGTTTAGGGAACTGTTGTAGGAGCCACCGTTGGCACTGTTCCTATGCCCCAAATAAGGTAAGAGTAGTCACTTTTTAGGAATTTGATATTTTCGGAGATTGCGTTGTAAGCATGGATTCACCCACTTTAAATAAACTTTAATTGAGAATTTTCCTTGGTGAGGCCGAGATTAGAATGAGGTAATGTCTAGTGAAAATCTGAAAAAATCCAGAAAAAAATAATTAATATAGCTAGACCTCTTACCTTGCGAAAAAGATAATGGGAGCCGAGGTCAAAAAGCGTAAGTGTTTTGCACAATAATATGAGACTTGGGTATCTTTCGAAAGAAATGGTGTTCTCGTGCCAACATGACAAGGAAAACTGATCTTAATTAATTAAACTTGGAGGCTATTGAAAAATTAGCATGAGTCCTTCGCGTACTTCAAGTATACTTCAAAGCACTAATGTGCAACGACGGATTAGCTTAGTTGTACACCATGTCTACTCTTTGCATAGGTTTAGATGATAATTCCTAATTTGTGGTCTCCTAAATTCCATGATCCTAAGAATAGCCCTGAAATTCCTGAATGCATTAAGTCCTTGTAATGTTGTTCCAAAACTCTCAAAGAAATGGACCGTAAATTCCTTACCATTCACAACCACCTTCACAAGTCCTTCAGATCGATAGCTAGTTTTTAGTGTATGTTGTCATTAGTTTGAGGATGTTGTGATTAATTTTGTGATTTATTTTAGCTAGATTACAAAGATGTAGTTTATGGAAGATTTTTCTTGGTTTAGCTGTCTATTATGTCAATATCCCTTTAACTACCCGTGCATGCTAATAATATTAAATTTCGTTTGGTGATTATCGTAAGTCCCGTTGTTCAGTTTGCTTGAGGACAGGCAAAAGGTTAAGTGTGGGGGAATCTGATAAGTTCGTATTACAACACGCATTTGATGCGTGTTGGGATCGGCTTTTGATGATTTTCCTAGCTTTAAGGTGTCATAAGTCCCAATTTTAACTCAAGTTATGTTTACCGAGTGTTGGTTTGAGTTTTGTATTGTTTGGAGTCAAAATCAAGGGATTAGAGTTCGACATCTGCGCTTGAGAAGAAATCGGGATAAGTCAAGATGAATTCAAGAGAGATTTGAGAGATTTGAAGGTCACCAGGAGGTTCACGGTGAAGATTGATGACAAAAGAACTCTAGGAGTGGCTATGGGATCAAAAGAAGACGGATAAAGCTTGAAAACGACGTTCAGGATGACCTTCTATCAATCGCTCAAGCATATCTTTTTGTAGAAACATCCAAAGAACACGGTTCGAGTTCCATATGGAATACAACTTCAAGGGCTACAAATCATATGAAGACACCATTGCGAGGACCTGAGTGGAGAAAGGTAAAAATAGACAAAGAAATCAGATGATCGTTGTTGCGATTTGAGAATGCGACTTTCCACAATTTTAGTCATATATATTTATTGGATGATCCAAATTCACCTTTTCAAGTTGTTGTGGATAGAGGACTTTATTATCTACAACTTTGATGAAGGAAGCATAGACAAATTCGGATAATACGAGCACGCACGATCGTGCCCAGAATTGGGCACGCCGTGCGTGATGAAGAAATCATGGGGAAGCTACTGCCGTCCACGCTCGGCGAGCGTGGCCCCGTAATGCAGAATTATGCTCCGGACGCTCACCGCCACACGCGCCGAGCGTGCCCCCCAGAAGTCCCGATTTCGCCCTGATTTGACCGTTTCCTATATATATCACCCCTAAACCCTATTTTGAGGGGGGTAACTTAGAGAGATGGCCTAGCATGAAATTTTGAGAGCTTTTCAGCCTTGTTCTTCAATTCTTTGAGATCCTTTGTAAGTTCCTACTTTTTAATTGATGATAATTAATTCTATTCTTCCCAATTCTTTTGTTAATTCAATTATGAGTTGTGAGTAGTCTTAATTAGGGATTTGGGGTTGGTGAAGGGGTTAATCAAGATGTATGGCTAAATTCATGATGGATTAATTGCATGAATGATATTTAATTTGTGATTGAATGATTTTATTGATATCTTTTGTAACCTAGAACGGCCGCTAGAATTACAATTGTTGGTAGAATAAATTAAGAGAGATCTAGTTTATTCTAAGACACCTTCACACACACTTAATTGTTCACTAAGAGATTAGTAACGATTAAGGGGTCGTACGCTCGTTCGTTTTGGCAATAATTTTATATACCTGTCGCATGAGAGATCAGTCTGGTTCCCTAAATTATTGTACTCTACGCTGCGAGAGCGTTTAGAACTTAGTATTGACTAGCGTGCTCAATTAAATTAATTTCATGTAATTAAGTCTGATCAGCCAGAAATCTGATTACCCCGGAATCAATCCCCGTTCTTTTCGTCGTTAATTAGAAAGAACCCATTAGTTTAATTTCTTTATTCGCAATTCATTTTCCATCAATCCAAATCTCGCACAATTAATTTTATTTTATTTTCTTTTTAATCGTTGAATTTAAATAATTCTTAATTCCATTTTCCCGTCCCTATGGAGACGATACCCGACAACCCGTACTTACACTATTATTCTACTATCAATTTAAGTGCGAGAAAACTCACATCAGGGATTTATGCAAGCGACACACCAAAGAGGGATTAGAGCCTATGTATCCCGGTGGAACCTGCATGTAAACTTCTTCAGCTAAATCCCCGTGCAAGAATGCATTATGAACATCCATCTGATGGAGCTCCCAATTTTTAGACGCTGCAATGGCCAAGAAGGCGCATACTGTGACCAGTTTGGCCACAAGAGCAAAAATTTCATTGTAATCCAGCCTCTCAATCTCGCGATTGTCAAAGATAACTAAACGACCTTTAAGGCGTTCAATACTACCATCAATCAGGGTGATATTTGATTTTATATACCCAACGACAGCCCAACGCCCTTTTTCCAGGTGGAAGCGGCTGCATGGTCCATGTGCGGTTTTCTTCAAGAGCACGAATTTCAGCGCGCATGGCATCACGCCAACCAGCATCTTGAACAGCTTCTTTAAACGAGGCCGGTTCTTTACTCACGGAGAGAGCCATCAGAAAAGCACGATAGCGGTAAAAAAAATTACATTTAATATAATGAGCTGTAGGGAACGGTGTACCTTAGTCAGCCGATGAAGAGGATGGAGCAGGGAATGGACTATCAAGCATGATGGTATGCATCTCAAAGTCTCTTAAGTGAACAAATGGAAGTTTAATGTGTTTCCCACGACGCATGTCAGGTGATAAAGGTCCGGTATCAGACGGTACCTGAAAATCATAAGATGCGGAAACATCAACGGGTGGAGAGACAAGAGCCTGTGAAGCCGGTGCAGTAGAAGGATATTCCCAAGTATCCGAAGGTGGTAGCGGTAAAGGTTCCTCTATGGCAGGGGCGTGTGGTGAGGCAAAAGGAAAGGTATCCTCAATAATTTTGACATCCCGTGAAACAAAGTAATCCTCGGTTTCAATGTCATACACCCGCCATCCTTTTTAACCAAAAGGATACCCAATGAAAATGCATTTGCGGGTCCGGCTCAAAAATTTATCTCGGGTAGAGCGAAGATTATATGCAAAACGGAGACACCCAAATACCCGCAGAGCATCATAATTAGGAGTTCTACCAAAAAGTATTTCAAAAGAGGTTTTGTGGTGCAAGACCGCAGAGGGGGTCCGATTAATAAGATGGACAGCGGTCAAAATACACTCCCCCAAAAATTAATAGGAAGATTAGCCTGAAATCTGAGAGCACAAGCGACATTAAGAATATGACGATGTTTACGTTCAACTCGCCCATTTTGTTGTGGTGTGGCAACACACGAAGTATGGAAAATAATGCCAGAAGCCCGGAAAAAATCTTTGAGACAATTAAACTCAGTCCCATTGTCACTACGAACAATCTTAATATTTTGAGAAAACTGACGCTCCACCATAGCACAAAAATTCATAAACATAAAAAAAACATTCGTTTTATCAACCAAGAGATACATCCAAACAACATGAGAATAAGCATCAACAATAGTTAAAAAACTCTTAGCACCGCAGGAGGATGGTGTATGATACAGTCCCCATAAATCACAATGTATAAGTTCAAAAATACGAGTACTTGTGCTAACACTGAGAGGAAAAGGGTCTCTAGTATGTTTAGCCCTAAAACAAATTTCACATTGTGAATAAACAGCAGTGGAATGTCCACTCACAAGTCGAAGCCATTTCATAACAGTGTGTGAAGGGTGTCCAACCGCTGATGCCAAGTGAACACGAAATTCGATCCTTTCTGCACACCAAAAATATAAGCACTAGTGACCTCCCAGAAAAAATTAAGTCCATTCCTCCGCTCACCCGCTCCAATCAGCCTCCTCGAGTGCCGGTCCTGAATAGCACAAATATTAGAAGTGAACTGATCGAATAAAGCAATCAAGATCTTCCGCAAGTTGGGATACAGAGATAAGACTACAATTTAATATGGGGACATATAACACATGTGAAAAATGCACTGTGTGAGATAAATAAACCGAACTTGCTTTAGTAGCTTGTACTTTCTGTCCGTCTCGTAAGCCAACAGTACAACTGTTAATTTCAGTGATATCACGTAAACAAGAAAGATTTCCGGTTACGTGATTGGAAGCCCCTGTATCAATAATCCACAAAAAATGCTAAAGTTACCGGATACTCTTTCATTATTGAAATTGGGTTTACCAAAGGCCGCTAGAAGGGCCTTCCACTGCTCCGAAGTAAAACCCGAAAAAGCACTGGCCTCGTTCTTTCCTTCTGCGCAATCAACACCGTCTGTGCGAGAGGTCAAGCGAGAGCCGGCTGAATCTGTCATCGTCGCATGAGCCCTGACGTTTCCTCGGCTACGACCTGCAGTTCATCCTCTACGACTGGTCCACCGCGGCCTGGACCATCGTTTTACTCTCCGCGTGAGGACGGTCGCCCCATCAGTCCGGGTAGCCAACGATTTCAAAGCGGTGAGAGATGTCATGGCCTGGACATTTGCGGTGAGCACAGATCTGCCCTGTTTTCTCTGGTTTGGCCGTCCCCTGCCCTGACCATTGGTTCGCACAGCAAACCCCAAAATGTCAGTGTTGTCCTCACGATTTTGCCCCATCTCGCGTACGCTCTCTTCCTGGTTGACATGCTGGTATGCGCGATTGAGTGTGGGAAGTGGCGATTGGGTCAAGAGTTCTGACTGGACATGCCCAAATGCTACCGTAGACAGCCCCATGAGGAATTGGTGGAAGCATTCTGACTCTCGTCGTTGCTCAAGCTTCTCCTTCAACTTACATGTACAATCTCCACAATTACGGGTTAGTAATGGTTCAAAATTGTTTAATTCATCCCACAACATTTTCAGCTTCCCATAATAAGCACTAATGGTCATGCCTTGGACCTGTTCACAGCGGGCTAAGGCTGTATTGACTTGGTGTACTCTCGTGCCATCAACGACGGAGAAACGTTCCTTGAGATCCTGCCAAAGTTCATATGCGTTTTCATAGTTCGAGAGGGTATGCTTCAAATCTGGTGCTATGGTGTTCAAGATCCAAGAAACAAATATCGAATGAATTGTTAGCCAATCATCATCCGTGCACGGTGGTTTTGATTTAAGGATGGTTCCGTCTACGAAAACGTTTTTTCGTCGCGCCCTCAAAGCTAATTTTCCCCATTCAAACGCACCGGCGTTATGGAGTCGCCCGGTCGGTCTTGCGGCCCTAGAAAAAAGGGTGAAGTATGATCAATTTTTGCATGGGTGTCTTCACTGTCTCCTACTGCCATTGTTGATGGCCAAAGTGTATTTGTCGTTAGTGAGTCTTTGGAGGCTCCGATACCATGTTAAGACATCATATTCCATCCTAAAAGGTCATCCTGATAGGAGGAGTAACACATGTCTTAATATAGCACTTTGTTGATTCAAACATTTCTGGTGTGGGATTCTAACACCCCTCCTCACGACGAGACACTTCATCTGGATCGTCCCATCAGTCATTTTTTCATCGGTTCGTCATTGTCATTTTTTATCGTGTCGTCATTTTTCATAAGGAGCCCACACCATGGTTATGGATCGATTTGGCTCTGATACCATGATGGACGGTGAAGACAAGTATATGAATAAACTATTGTGTATTATTCTATGTATTCCAAAGATGTACAAGCCAATTATATAGCAGTGGGATGACTAGGCTAAATGGAAAGACATTAAATGTATGCCAAAATTAAGAGATTACATATCATATAAAATAAGTAATATAACTCCTAATGTCTTCTTTACATAATAACACACCCAATACAAAGTGCCAATGATATCACCAAGCTGATTTTTTTTTTGTTTTCAAGATGAAAAGTTTTAAAATAGCACTTGTTTAATTCATCCCACAGCGTTTTCAGCTTCCCGTAATAAGCGCTAATGGTCATGCCTTTGACCTGTTGACAACAGGTTAGGGTTGTCTTGACTTGGTGTACTCTCGTGCCATCAACGACAGAGAAACATTTCTTGAGATCCTGCCACAGTTCGTATGCGTTTTCGTAGTGCGAGAGGGTATGCTTCAAATCATGTGCTATGGTGTTCAAGATCCAAGAAACAAGCATCAAATGAATTGTTAGCCAATCATCATCCGTGCACGGTGGTTTTGCTTTAAGGATGATTCCGTCTACGAAAACGTATTTTCATCGCGCCCTCAAAGCTAATTCTCCGCATTCAAATGCACCGGCGTTATGAAGTCGCCCAGTCGGTCTTGCGGCCCTAGAAAAAAGGGTGAAGTATGATCAATTTTTGCAGGGGTGTCTTCACTGTCTCCTGCTGCCATTGTTGATGGACAAAGTGTATTTGTCGTTAGTGAGTCTTTGGAGGATTTGATACCATGTTAAGACCTGAGATTCTATCCTAAAAGGTCAACCTGATAGGAGGAATAGCATGTGTCATAATATAGCACTTTGTTGATTCAAACTTTTCCTGTGGGGGATTCTAACACCCCTCCTCACGACCAGACACTTCGTCTGGATCGTGCCATCAATCATATTTTCGTCGGTTCATCATTGTCATTTTTTAATCGTGTCGTCATTTTTAATAAGGGGCTCACACCATGGTTATGGATCGGTTTGGCTCTGATACCATGATGGACAGTGAAGACAAGTATATGAATAAACTATTGTGTATTATTCTATGTATTCCAAAGATGTACAAGCCAATTATATTTTAGTGGGATGACTAGGCTAAATGGAAACACATTAAACGTATGCCAAAATTAAAGATTACATATCATATAAAATAAGTAATATAACTCCTAATATATTCTTACCATAATAACACACCGAGTACAAAGTGCCAATGATATCACCAAGCTGATTTTTTTTGTTTTCATGATGAAAAGTTTTAAAAGAACAGCAACAACAACAACATCCAAGCATTAGTCCCAAAAGATATTGGGATCGACCTCTTCTCCACACATCTCAACTCGTCTGGGGGTGCATCACTCGATCTTCTACGCGAATGACCAAACCATCGTTGGCGCGACTCCCGCAACTTGTCTTCAATAGGTGCTACTCCCACCCTTTGTCTGATTGTCTCATTCATCACGCGGTCCTTCCTAGTATGCCCACACATCCAACGCAGCATGCGCATCTCTGCCACACTCATCTTTTGAATGTGACATTGTTTCACCGCCCAACACTCTACGCCATACAATAATGCAGGCCTAATTGCCGTCCTATAAAATTTACCCTTCAGTCTAGTCGGCATACCTGGATCGCATGGAAAAGTTTTAAAAGAGCACTTGTTCAAAATTAAATAAGCGTCTAGCAAAGGAGAGTATTCATAGTTAGGAAATGATAAAGAAAAGCTGAGTGTTCTACAAATGCTAAGCCAGTCCTCGTTGTTGTTTTATATTTCGCAAACTATCTAGCAAAATTCAAACTCAGACATGAAATGCATTATAGTTTGTTAATATAGATTTATGATCTATTTATTTTTTTTGAATGTACTCTGCAATTTCAAGAAAGCTCTACAATAGTAGCCTTAATACTTGATGGAGTATATGGAGCAGGGACCCCCGGCCCACAGACTCCTACTACTCTAACACATGCCCAACAGGCTCAAAGAAGCACAAGAGGCCCAAAGGACAGCCCACGGTGCACATACGGGTGCCTTTGGCCCCATGGCCGAGGGCTCCTAAATCTCACAGGATAGCTGATTTTAGGCATATAACCCACTGGGAGAAAACGGCGGAAATCAGGAGCCTTCGGCTCATACACGCCTTCGGCACTTGGGTAGCCTTCGGATACACAGAGCCCCCGGCCACAGGGGAGCCTTCGGCTACAGCACAAACATCGAAGATTCCATTTGGAGACAAGCAACAACCACATTTAATGCGGCGTCACATCCACCCGCCGCATTTAATGCGGTGCACATGCGTATGCCGGTGCCATCCCGATTGATGTGACCCCTTGACCGTTAGATTGTTGACACGTGTACTCTCATCGCATTTATTAGTGCTATAAATAGCAGCCCATTCTCCATTGTAAAGCATCACAAGTTCACATATTCGAATACACTTTCTCTCTTACTTATTGCTCTGACTTCTCTCTAGGTCATTTCCGCAATAACCCCTCGGATAAGCTACCCCCGAGTACACTATCCATCATTTGGTGCTCTCGTTGAGAGTTCGAACAATCAAGTAAGAAACCCTCCCCTTCGCCGAACACAAGGAACACCTACCAAAATGGGAAGAACCACCCGTGCCCAGTCCAAGAACCTCGAGGACAACAACCTGGCCCTCAGCGAGGTCGATGCCCCCGGAGCCTCTAACAGGGTTCCCGAGGGCGGAGTCATCGCCGGGTTGGATCAGACTGCTATCGACCTGCGCCTTCAGCTCCAGCGGAATGGTCCTGATGCCCTCCTCAGCATCTAGACTCGAAGAAAGGGCCGGAGCGAAAACTAAGTGAGCCCTCTGGTCCTCACTATTGATGTGCAGTCAGCATTTTCTGCCTTCATCGAGACACTCACCCAGAATCCATGTGCCTTCGGCACTCTGGTACCACTTCAACCACAGGTTGGGGAAAATGTCGTTCCTCCCCACCTCCACCCCCCTTCGTAAACCCTATCCTTCGGTTAGGGAATAACGAAGGGGTCGTGGCTCAGGACACCGCTTCCCAGGAAGTCCAGTCCAGGGACCAGCGCGGTGCGAACAAAGATAGGCCCCGGACCTCTGCCCTCGAGAGGTTAGGAGGAGCGCAAGATCGCCGAGGGGTCCAAGACCGCCTCGGGGGTAAGGCGTTCCAATGACCTCAGGAAAGCGGGGGATCTGTATTGAGGGCAGACGAGAGGCGTCCTTCTCAGGACAAAGGCAAGGGACCACTCCACGCCGATGACGCCAGACACAGAATCAACCAGGCTCACTAAGACGAGATTATTGAGGCCCTCCAACGCCGCCTCAACGAAATGGAGGCCCACCAGTTTCACACAACCACTTCCGCCTCCCATGCGGATCCTATGTATGAGACCATGCTGGCCAAAATGGAAGAGATGCAGAAGAAAATTTTCGAAGGCTCCGGGGAACCCGTCATCCAGCTCCAGACAAGGACGCCATTTACCCAAATGGTATTGGCGGCCCAGATTCCGGGAAAATATCGAGGGCAACCCATCAAGCCCTATGAAGGGAAGACCGGACCCCAGAAGCACTACAGCAGGTACCAGAAAAACATGATGATGGTGGGGGCATTAGATCAATATTTATGCCGCTCGTTCCTTTCCACCTTGGAGGGACAGGCATATGAATGGTTCAACTGGTTCCCCGAAGGCAGCATTGATTCATGGTAAGAATTTGCCCACCGTTTCTTGAAACAATTCGCCGGGAGGCACCGGTCAAAGAAACATTTCTCCCACCTTCTGAACGTAAGGCAACACAAGGAGGAAACCCTTCGGAGTTTCCTAGAATGCTGGAGGAAGGCCTCCGTCGAAGTCGATGGTGCCAACGATAGAACGCTGATGGCCCTATTCCACACCATCCTCCGCAACGGTAATTTCTCTAGGCGCCTTATTACTAATCCCCCCCACGATTATACGAAGGCCCTCCAGCGGGGGGACCGATATGCCGAGGCCGAGGAGATCGAGAAAGATCGCCGCAGCCCGGAGCCTTCACAAAAGCACGAAGGCGGAAATCACCCCGGGGGGCCACCCCCTCCGGCCAACCGTGAGGCACAGTACAACGATCGAACTCAGAATGGCCAAGCCAAATCCGGGGGCAGCTACGAGAACAATCTGAGGCCGTGGGCCCAGCCTACCCTCCTGGAACACCCACGCACCCCTCTGACGCATCCCATCAGCGTTATCTTGGACTATGCGGAGGAAAGAGGCATTGTGGAGCGAGACTCGCGCGCACCCCTAGAGGTATATGCCATCAATCCCAGCGAACCTTATTGTCACTTTCATCGTCATCAAGGGAACAAGACCGATGACTACCACCATCTGAAGGTAGCCATCAAAAGGTTAATACAGGCGGGCCATCTGTCTCAATTCGTCAGGGGCCCTCCTCCTCGGGGGATCCCTCATCACCAAGGGCCCACTCCGAAGGGTAGTAAATGGGTTAACCCAAACACCATCCCCTTGTGAAACCCACATGGGAAGAAGCGTGAGATTGGGAAGCTTAGTGAGGAGCACGATCCAGAGCACCAATACAAGCGCCCCATCCACATGATCACTGGAGGCAACACCGGTGGGGACTCCACGAGCCAAAGGAAGAAGTGGGCTCAATCCCTTTACGTTGGGGAGGTCAATCATATGCCCCCAACTAAAAGGCCGAGGGCGGATCCTATCTTCTTTACAGATGCGGATCTGCCCCCGAGCTCTCTTCCTCATATGGATGCCCTCATCATCCAGACATAGATCAAAAACACCATCATCCTCTGCACCCATGTTGACATAGGTAGCTCTGTCAACGTTATGTATCTAAGTACTTTTCGAGAGCTTGAGCTCGATATAGGATCCCTTCGACGGATCAAAACACCTCTCTCCGGATTCACAGGGGACAGCATCGACGCCGAGGGCGTCATTTCTTTGATGGTTAATTTCGGCGATGGATTCCATATGGCCAAGCTCGAAGTGGAATTCGTCGTCGTCAACCTTGACTGCGCCCACAACATCATCCTCGGCCGGCCCGCCTGACGTGCACTCGTCGTTAGGTGCACTCAAAATAATTAATCAATACAACACTAATACGTAGTATAGTGTAGTAAGGTTCGTATCCACAGGGAAAGGAATACTTTTCTTTTATATAAATAGTAACAAAAGGGGTTTAGATTTGTTTGGTTTAATAACACTAAGATAAACGACCTATATGAGTTTAATTCAATGAGATGGGGACTTGGTTTTGCTTTTATCCACTTAATGAAATGTTCGTCGATCCCGGTTATATCTTTAACTATCTTCCTCTCGAATACTCAATCGAGGAGTATATCCAGTTCATCGAGGGTAGTTATTAATAACGAGATGCGTTCATTAATAAAACTTACTATCGAGTCAATATAGAACAAGCGCCGTATATTAACTTGATAGTAGCAATAAACTTAAGATGAAAACGATTGAGATTGATAACCTCAACACAAGCGGTTTATTGGTTTAATCAATATAATTAATTCCCCTTGCCATATTAACCATGAGATGCATGCATTAATATTCCAAGTTTACTACCGTTGAAAGAACCGGATTAATAACAAGCGTATTAACCGATTGATTCTAGTAATAATTAATATGAGAAACAATACTAGTTGATACTTTAAGTAATGTTTAAGATATTAACATGAAATATGAATAGGAATTCATCAATACTCAAGGAAGAATATTAAAATATATGAATCCTACTATGATTAATATCAAGATGTTAACTAATTGTCATCTTAGCAACACTCCCCAATATAATCATAGAGGAAGAAATAGCTATTACTATAACCAATGTCAAGATGTTAACTAATTGTCATCTTAGTAACACTCCCCAACTTTGATATAGAGATAGTATTTTGAAAGAAAGAATTAATATTCAAAGAAGAAGATTAAGGAAAAATAACTCACAACTTACAAATTCATTAAGCTTCAAAGTAGCAAAACCAAGATGGAAGAGTTT